AGATAAACGGGATTAATGACAGTGATGGTCCCCGAAAAACAATCGATGACGGTTGTAATGGATATGTTTTATTCGTAAAACACTGCAAAAAATAGTCCATTCGTTTTATTCATATAATATTCTTATAATACCGCACCACCAGTCAGAACAGAAAGCCTTCGATTGAAAGGCTCCGAGGTCTAATACTTTCACAATTACACGTTTTATCAGACAGTATACTTACCTATATTGGTTACGTGTTTTATGAAATTACTGTACTATATTAATCAATTTCCAGTCGCAATTAATATCGTGCCTTATTAATTGTGATTCGAAATTGATTAAACGCAATTCTTACTTTATTGTGGAACATTATAGTAACAATAATAATAGTAATAATACGAGTAGATGCTAAGGGAACAAAGTGAGCGTAATAAATCGCGTAAAATTAAATTATTTTTTAGCTCTCGCCTTTAAGATTTATAAAACGGCACACTAAATACTGCTCTGCAGCCGAAACGCCCAAGTTATTATTATAAAGGCCGCCAAAGCTCCAGCAGCTGTAGACGACGTGAAGTTCATGATCTCTCATTGAAGTTCCTTATGCCATTGATTATAATATACTTACGTCGTAGAAGGACTCGAGGGACTGGCATCGCGTGTACACATAATACGACTATAATATTATATATTATACATAGGTATAATAATAAAGAGAAGAAATCCGATTATAATAACATATATTACATTATTATATTTTCCATATTTCGTTAGGTATAATAATATATTATACTGTAAAGAACGAACTGAAATACCACATGCACATACCTATTATGCTCTGATTATAATTGTTGTCCAATTATACTTTGTTCGAATTTAGTTTTAATTATATTTTCGTGTGCGAACGAATTACTACAAAATGTCCTACACCACGGACTGTCTTGTTTTATTGTTTCGCCTTAATTAATTCTCTTTTGTGCCCATTCGCATCATGGAGACTATAGACAAAATTGCTTCTTTTTTTTTGTAATACATTTTCCGAGAAAAATGTAATTTTCCGTTTTAAGTCGACTTTATGTTTTACAAGGTAACGACCAATGTGGCAAATAAAGCAAATGCAATAAAAGACAATGGAATATAAGACGAAACACTCCAAAAAGAAATAAAACCAATTTTATACACCCGACTTAATTGACCTTTAAGATAACTTTATAACAGCTGTATAATATTAGTAATTGAAATATTAAAATGGGTTTATCTCAACAAAAAGTAATAAAAATAATAATATCAATATAATAATATTTACTTAGTGAAAATGAAAATAAATTGGAAGCAGAATGGATTTTTGCCACATAAAGCGTAACGGGTAGGTACCGAACATATAATAACATGTAACATTTCTACATTGAAAATATTCGAAACATAATTTGAAAAAAAAAATTATTAGCTATTTAAAACTAAAAAGTATATGAGATAATGATAGAGATAGAAAGAAAATATAGAGACACCCTTACTAGTTTTTATCACAACAGCTAGGCACTATAATAGAAAACCGACCCCATTAGTATGATATAAATTTTTAGTATAAATGCTATATAATTATGGGTATAATTTGTTTTTTACTTTTTTAGATTTTCTGTCTTGTGAGGAAAAAAACATAAAAATGTGTGTGTGATTTTCTTTTTGATATAATAATCATTAAGATAAATACATTTCGTACTATATTATTACATTTCAACTTTTGAATTTGTCAAAGCTAAATGGTTTAAGTTTAAATGATTTTACTTAGAACGAATAATTTGATATGATAAATACAATAAATAATTTATACTTTTGTTTCTTTTTTTCTAATGAATATTTTTAAAACGTCTATTAATCTGAAATATTATTGTTATACGCGTTGTATAACAATGGTTTACAGTCTAAAATTATACTAAAAATAATTGTATTTGTATTTTACAAAATAACGTTTTTACTACCTAGTTAAAATCATTGGTTAAACGTCCTCTTCATGGGTCATAATAATCGCTCATATTACACGAATAACAGATTGGAGTCTAACCACTAGAAATTCTAAAATTTCAAAACCTATTTGGTTTAATTTTTAATTTTTGATTCGTAAGTTTAGAATTTAAAACAGTGTTTTTTTTAAGATCTTCGAGTAATTTAATAAAGCACAACGAATTAACATTTTAACATACTTTTATGACATCGTATTGAATAATTACTTAAAATTAGTTGTCGTGTAACGTAAAAATAATGAGACAAATTAGAATTGTGAAGTAAATTAATACGAAATATGGATCTCTGGATAAAGGTGATTTTAGATAAGTGTTCAAAAATTCAATTCGGCATAACATCCATAAACCACAAACCTACATTTATTTTTAAAAAAAAACGCTTAAAATTATTCAAATCGAAATGATTAATTCATTAGGGTTTTTTTTTGGGTATACTCGTTTACATAAATATAATATAATATTAATATTATGATATTTTGATACAACTCAAAATATTCAAACGGATGAATAAAACGAATGAAAAAATAATCGCCCAATTCCTGCGAAATAAATACAATTTAATATTATATATCATTGATCTTTTAGTTTTCCGTTTTTATTCCTTTTGCCTTATCGAGGCAAAGCTCACCTGATCAAGTCACAAACATATTACATAACAATAAATGTAATAAGATAAATATATTTAAAGAATGTAATAAAAAATGTTACTGTATTTCTAGAGTAAGTTCAACCAAATATCTAGGTGTCATTTTTGATGAAAAATTAATAATGCGTTTAAGAAAGTGTTTTTATATATTTAAAGAACTGCGTAATATCTTAGACATCTCAAGTCTGAAAATGGTTTATTTTGCCTTAGTTCAGTCTGTCCTAATATATGGCATACTAGTATGATGGGGCTCTGCCTATAAAAATGTTCTGGAGCCACTGAATGTAACACACAGAATCCTAGTAAAAATAATAATGTCAAATATTCATGACTCTGAAAATAATACTAATTCTGTGATCCATAAATTAAATATACTAACGTTGGAACAATTATATATAATAAAGCATCGATTTTTAAAAATATATAAGAACAAAGTAGATTTTGAACCCTATAACCTATATAAAACGAGAGGGATGTGTAATGGGAACTTAGAATTATTCAAACCTAATACATCCTTGATGGGTAATTATTACATAAACATAGGGATAAAGCTATTTAATCGCCTACCTTTGAATATCAAATTGATTGACAACGATGTAAAATTCAAAGTAATGATAAAAAAATTATATACGCAAACCTTTTCAAAGTCTCTTTTGATATCCGTCTTTATATTTCTATTAGTTGCCTTTTATTATTATTTAAACCAGTTATTGTATTTTATTTATGTTTATATTTTATTCCTATTGCTGTGAGAATGTTTATATTTAATTAATATTGTATCGGACTCCCTACTCTCACCTGCACAAGCTATTGCTTATAGAGAGTAGGTATCAACTCAATGTATACGTTTTAAATTGCAATTTATTATGCGAAGAAGTTGAAATAAATGTATTATCATTATTATTATTATTATGAACATATGTTCGGTAAACCGTTCGCTGCTGTTTACGAAGACAACGATGATTAGCCGTCTCGAAAGAAACCGCACATTTGTACCAATGGTTTCTTAATGATATAAAACAGACTACATCCTTTGTTCGTAATGCGACGACACGAATAATATATGTACTATGCCCTCGAGACTTACAAAGCTCGCCAAATTATCTTTGCACCGTAATAGTTGTGTGGTTTTTTTTTTTTTTTCGTTTGTTTGTTTTTAGTTTTCTATATAAATAGTAGCCCGAAAGACGTGGCTCGCGGTATTATTATCTGACGCAGTTGTATATTATCTCAGTTGTTAGAGAAAAAAAATAAATAGTGATTTATGCGGAGATAGTGTTTTGACGCACAAACTATTATAATTTAAAACTGGTAGACCCGATAAGACCCGATGACCGTCGGTTTTCCATCTCGCGGTACAACAACGGACTGTCACCAGTGGTAGATGAAAATCCAAATTAAGTTTAGATATAAGTGATATAACTTTAATTGAAAAAAAAAAAATTATGAGAATAAGTACTTGTCTTAACGATGATAATATTGATTACCGATCTTATCGGATACAATACCCGAGGCTAGTTGATCGATAAAATTATTGGTCACTAAACAGTGGTGAGTAGGCAACCTTACCCACCCGTTCTACATACCTACCTACCTACAGAGGTCGTGTTTAATGTACGAATCTTATCCGATGTTGCTCATCGATATAAGTAATAACATTAAAAATTAATAATTACACACAAGCAATAACCAGTTACACGTATGGATCTTACATATAGGTATTGATATATTATACCAAGGCTCATACTCTCGGTAATCGTGGTATAATAGTACTCTGTTATATTATAATATTATCATAAACGATGCGATGTTCGAGAATAATATCCGAAAGCTGGAAATGCGGTCAGAACCGCTTGTAGGCATGTGTCGTGTTCGTCGTATTTGTGAGTAATTTATATTGTAATGTGCTCAACATTATGATTCCATACGTGAAACGAACTTTTTCCATTGTAATTATTTTTATGCAAATCAAACAATACGACGACGGCAGCAACGATATTATACAAATTATGGTAATACGCGCGAGTTTACCGAAACGTGATATTCATACGACGCATACCTTTTCACGGAGTGCATGAATGGGTAGGCACATGTACGATTGAATACACGTAACCGACTGGGTTGTGCGGTGTTTTAAATTCATATTTTGTAAGTCACTTTTGAAATATCCTGGGACATATTTTCATGAATAATAAAATTCCAACAATCACGTGATATCATAATATTATAGGTAATATTATTATAACTATGTGTTATGGTTATAAAAAAAAAAAATAAACACTGACTATAGGTACTGAACGAAATACTACAACATCTAACTGTCTAGTTAGCACTGTCTAGAAATACTACAACAGCTAACTGTCTAGTTTAGATTTGCTGATGGAATGCACATCGCGAGTTCTTCGAATTCCACCATCATCGGTGTCACTGATTTGAGTTTGTATATAGCCCCATTCGATTGGATTCAAATTAGGGTAAAAGGAGTTGAGATCCGCGGCTCTGGGGTAATAATCTTGACGAGAATATAATTTATTCTCAGTTGCATCACTCAGACTTGGGTACGATGATAGGGGTAGTGGTGGTCCGTAACGTCTATGGTAAAAATAATTGCAAAACATGATTTAATGTTATGTCAATATTTCGTAAAGGTTAAATATACAAAACTAGTAATATTATGTACAATTGAAAAATGAAAATAATTTGTTTTTCCCGTATAAGACAGCTGTACTGCACAGGGCATCACATCGGACCGGTAAAATCAAAAATGACTGAATGAAATAATTTTATTATGAACGTCATCGCCGGACGACTGGAGCAGCCAAACCGGGAGCGGAACGACGACAGTGAACCGGAACAGGGGCGGAACCGAGCGCGGGACCAGCGTAGAACGGCGGCGGCCGTGGCCGACAAACGACGCGGTGGCCGTTGATAGAACAAGCGAGCGCGCTCAACATTACAATATTATAGTGGCCGGATCAACGGAACGGACGGCGGCGGGATCGTCGTGGTCGCGCAGGTCGCACCGGAACTAACGGCGAGCGTGGTCGAGCAGCCGGCGGCGTGGGGGGCGCGTCAAGCAAGTGCAGCTGGTGGTGCTGCTGCTGCCGGAGCTGCCGTCGCCGCCGCCTTCGCCACAGCCGCCGGGCCGCCGCCGCCGCTGACGACGCCGCAGCAGCAGCATCCGAAGCCGGCGACGACCTGCAGCAACAGCAACAGCAACAGCAAAGTGGTGACCAGCACAGGACAGAAACCACAGTAGTGATAACGTCGCCGTCGTCGTCCACCATAGAAACGCCGGGACGAGTTGAGGTCGCCGCTGCCACCCTGTCGTCGTCGACCGGATGCCAAGCGCCGCCGTCGTCGTGTTCCGTCACCGCAGACGCCGACCGGAAGTCGTCGTCGGCTTCGTCCGTCGTCCCGGGCGCCGGCGACCAAAATCAGCAACAACAACAACAACAGCCGCCGCACGCAGCATCGGGGGTCAAGCAGCAGCAGCAGCAACCTCAACAACAACAGCAGTTGCACGACATCGAGGAGGAAGAGGACGACGATCAGCCGACTTCGTCGACGGACGGCGACCGCTCGCTGACGGTCCGCGAGACCGCCGGCTGCCCGTCACCGACATCATCGTCTGGCGCCCCATCGGCCACGAACACGAACTGGCCCAGGGCTGCCACGACCACGGCGGCGGTGTCGTCATCGTCGGCGCCCGCCACCGACCGGAAGCGCAAGAAAAACCTGCGGCCCAAGAGCGTGACGAACGCCGTTAGTTCGGACACGTCTGGCGCCGTCGGTTCGGGTGTCCAGGAACGCACCGCCGGCACCACGCCATCGTCGGCCAACGACAACAACAACGACAACAGTCAAACGTCTGGACCATCAGCAGAAGCAGCAGCAGTAGCAGCGGCCATAGCGGCAGCGGCAGCTGCAACCGCAGCCACCTCCACATCGGCGGTCACGGCCAAAATGCAAGCGGAACAGGGCAGCATAGGAGATCTGCAGAAGTATCACAAGTTCCTCCGGAATCGCAGGCACACGCTAGCTAACGTCCGGTAAGTACGCACGAATTTCATTATTGTATCTCCGAACACGTTATTACCCATAAAATTACGTGCGGTGCTGGGATGTTTGGAATTTGTATGAGACTTAAGGTGACTATTAAGTCTCTCACCAAACGATCGTTTTCGGAAAAAATCATTCTTTTTAGTCATATCATTGAGTGATTCTACTCTCTGGTATATCTCATATTATACTGTGATAAAATTTTGGTATACCCATAGACCATAATATTATACTAATATAGACAGAGCATGGGTGTAATTTGGTGAGGTCTTGTCAGACTGCGCTGCTAGGGACATGAGTAGTAGATGATACAATAAAATGTATAAGACTGTATATCTAAGAATATAAAAATTAATTTTTGTCTGTCTGTCTGTGTGTCCTTTATGCATTCCTGAACAGCTGGACCGATGTTGATGAAATTTGGTACAGAGATAGGTTAGACATCTGGGCAGAAGATTATTTAAAAATGGAGAGGTGCAAACCTCGGGAGGTGCTCAAACAGGGATTTTGAGATTTCCGATGGACATTTTTGTGTATAAATGGTTGCCATGGGTTTCAATTATAAAATATAATATAATATTATTCACATAGAGTTGGGATTTTGAATGGACAATGAAGTACACGGGATCAGCTAGTAATATATATATCACTGTAACGAACATTGTCAAAGACAACACTACCCAACACCGCAGGCCTTATAATATGCTCAGTCTACAAGTTTATATAAGGTCTATGGGATAACCGCGTACTAACCACGAAATGCGGCCAATCGTAGCGCCAAATTGATTTTTGGAAATCACGGTTCACTTTATCGCGGTGGAATGTGAAGTCGCCTTTATGTCGCCTTAACGTTTATTTTTTTTTTACTATGTCGGTGGGGAATACTAAGGTTTTTCGTGGCGCAGTCGAACAATTATCGATTAAATCGAAAATAAAACCATACCACGTTGGGCGATAATAACAGTTAAAGAATCAAAGATTTTATTTCACTCGGTTGGAACTGTGTAGACGGTTGAGCGCAGTGCGGAATGGGGCGTGCCGCCATCTTGTAATCGTTAGATTTTTAGCGAATAAATCATTCATTTTGATTTTTTTGCTACAAATTTTACGCCCTCTCCTCCTCCCACTTCAATAAAGCAAATAAGTTTCTAAATAGATACTTGTTTGTTTTTTTTGTTCCATTTTCATTTTAGTAAAATAGATAAGAATATTGTGAAAGGAAAATATTTTTAATTTACAATTTTATAATCTAAAATTATACGAAATTAAAACTACGCGTAACCGTATACGTTTATGAAACTTATTTTATGTAATTTTATTTTATTGCACATTGAAAACGATAGTGAACATAATATAAAACGCATAAATAATTAAATTTCTACTCGCTTTTAATTTCAAATTTAAATTTAAGTTTTTCAAAAGTATTATGCAATTACGATATCGTCACAGATAATAATTATGCGTGATTATAGCTATGTTTCGATGTCTCCCATTAACGGATACAATTTTTTTTTTATATTGGTCACTCCTAAAAGACACTTCTAACTTGTAATAAAAAGGTGGTTTTTGTTCATGAAATGTGCGAAAGTTGAATCTATAAAAACTTAAGTGCCGATATAGCTGTTGTACATAATATTGTAATGTGGATATTATATGACATGGAATTTCTAATAAGGTCGTACCAATCGGGTTTTTATGGTATAAAATGGCGATCGTGTCTTACAATGTAACCTAAGTTTTTATTTCCAACTACACTCCACAGAAGTACCTACTGAACAAAAATACTTAAACATCGGCCTGCCCCGTATTATATTAAATTATAAGCCAGTTTTTATTTCCAGCTCAACACTCCACAGGAGTAGGTATACCTACCTATACCGAACATTAATACTTAAACTTCGGACTGCTATTATGTTATTAAATTAATACACACGTCGTATGTCGTCGTTAAATAACAGCCAAGTTACGATACGACTATATACGTATATATAGTACGAAGTTCAATGGTTATAGCGGTAACACGCCAGCGGTATGCTGCAATTTACAGCTTTTATTCCGCACACGTACCTATATATAATAATAATATAACAAATTTTCCTCGGCGAACTTTTGAACCGCGTAAATAGTTTTATAAATCATTTTCAGCGCTGCCGTCGCCATTACTGCACACCCACTCGCACACCGTCGTGTGCGCATAACAAAGTGGTTCGTTTTGATTTAGAGAGACATATTGTTGCGCATAAAATAAGTACCTAAACTTGGTCAAAACGTAAATGAATTCACGCCGGCGAATTCAATAGTTTTTGATGGGTTTCGAGAGGGCCGAGAAAAATGACACGAAAATAATATAATACCGACCCGTTCGGAATACAAAATTTCAGACGTATAGTTCTGTACTCGCAGAAACACGACTTTGCCGAATTAATATTGCCGGCAAAGACTTTTACGCTGCACTAGACCTCAAGTCGATGAAAAATCTAATGTAGAACGATCCAAAAACGAAGTGGTTTTAGCACTTTGGCCGCCGCGTGTTCAATTCACGAGTGTATTATTATTATTCGTACGCATATAATATTATTATCGTATACACCCGACATGGGTTACACATTCAACGTGAAAACACTGTAAACCTTTTTTTCCTTTTTTCAGCCTAATTTCGAACAACCGTATAGTCGGTTAACATCGCAATTGTATAGGAGTATATCATTAAAACTAAAAACGCGAAAAAAAACCTTTCGGCGAAAAAACACCACCCCTAAATCGTCGTGGCCCGGGCGTGTTTGCTCACGTCATGTCAGCGACTGTGTTGGTATATTTGTCTTTCCCTACATTATATCGTGAGCTCGCACACATCCGGCCCGGGGATTCGGTTCAGTGCAAACTATTGGGTGCATCGCTGGGCGGGTGGTGGATTCAGGGGGGGGGGGCGCAAATACAAAAGTTTCGATCGTTTTCCCTAATAGGTAATAACGATTTCATTTATATAATATTACACTATAACTCCCGCGCGTTTCCCTTATTACGCGTGTAGACCATGGCTCAAACGTACTGATAAAATATGATACGATGCATGAGTAGTTGTGTGTGTGTGTGTGTGTGTGTGTGTGTGTGTGTGTGTGTGTGTGTGTGTGTAGCTCTCTCTATCTGTCTCTGTATATTGTATCTCTGTCTCCGTCTTTCTATCTCTTAGTTGACGCCTCCGGGGAGAAAACTTATTGTTTTTATTTCCATTACGTCTTCGCTACAGGAGGATGTTATAACTGAAATAATACCTGGACGATATATTATGCACTCTCCTTACCTCGTATGTAGTCAGCTATACATCATAGGTGATCAACCCGGGGCCCACCTCGTCTTTATTTGAAACCCACAAGCGCATTTTAAGCTTAGCATGGTTTTGTTTTTTTTTTTTTTAAATACATTTTAATCGTTTAATAGTTATATATTTTAATCGTGCTCACGATATGTTTTAAAAATAATAGGTGTCTCTCGGTAACACAGTTGTGCATACAACACATTGTATACCTACACATCCTGCAGCATACTACCCGAAGCAAACGCTATTAGCTAGATTTATAGGAGCCTATTTTTTCCCAAAGCGTTTATCGATCTATCATGATCTACTGTATGATTTCGTTCTATTCGGGCGATGAGTACTTGATTTTATTTCGTATAAATTTTAATTTTTGTAGTAAAAATCGAATATTTCAGGAAACCGAATACGGCGAATGTGATTTTGGCAGATAGCGAAAGCCTATCTTTATTAATAAATTTTGAATAATTTTGTAAATCTGCAAACTGTGCTATAACTTGTAATTACGTGTACGCGTACTAGTCTTCTCCGCATAGTTACAGATCATTCAGATTTTTGGTGAGTCGATTGTGTTATAGTCACTCTTTTAGAAATATAATATAGACGAGATAATTTGTTTCTTAAAACAAAATAATCATTATGATCAGATTTAAATTTAATTTATAGCCGCCGTCTCGTTACTATCGTCGAATATTATATTGTTTTAGACCTCACAATGGCTAAATTTTTGCTCGATATGCCCGATACGAGTCTACTCGTTTCGGGACTCGTTCGCAATCACATTGCGTGGTTTATCATATTATTATTACACATGCGTATAGAAATTTAGGTGTTTTCGTCGAAATTTAGTGGTAGGTACAGCACAACATAATTTATCGTTATATTATCAGAACTTGCGACGAGGATATACTGGTAATGATTTTTAAGTGGTTTGTGAGTGTTCAGTGCTCGCTGCATCAAAACGATAAATCCATGTCCTGGCGAGAAGACGAGGAAAGTCTGCGATTTAAATGACGTAGTATTTGCACGTACTTGGAGCAGGTTTTTCCGGCGATAATATATATATGCGTATACGCATTATTATACAATATTATTATAGTATAGCTGAATGAAGACGTCGAAACCTTATTTTCGAAATTGCATCAACCCTATACCGTGGTATACTATTATACAGACGTACAGTCATAGCATGTACGTATTATGCATTAGTATAATGTCATTATTTAAGATGAGGAGGCACGGGCGAAAAAAATGAATGATTTAAAAATGCACTTCCAAGACATGATAACATTTAAAAATATTGAGGATTTTTATTATATTAGCAATGTCTACTTAAGTGGTTTAATTTTCATCCGACTTGTGCATGATATAATTTTTGTTTGCGAGCAAAAAATATCGAACATTTAACACTTGGTATTCTTACAGACAGTTTATTAAAATGTATATAAAAAACATATTTTCAATTCTCACGATATCAATGAAAATCATGGAAATTTGGCCAGTATTTTGTTACAGATTCATATTTTTTAGGGGTTTGAATTTAAATTGTTTACCAATTTTATTGAAATCATGAATTATTTTGTAGACATTATATAGGCATTATAGGCAGACGACCGTCTCCGCTCGGAATTGTTCTTCATCGTAAATAATGATTTATTGATGAATTCAAACTTAACACATA